GGGGGGGGGGGGGGGGGGGTGTACTCATAGTCGTGCATGCCGTAGTCGTTAGACCATTGACCTCGCATCGCTACAAAGCCGGGACGGAGCACGCCGGGTTCTCACCGGACCAGGCTCTCACATCACCAAGCGCAAAGCGCCGTGAGGTATTTGGCGAGTCGCATGAAGGGTGAGCTGCATCCTGCTAAGGGTGTTCGGCATCTTGTGCTTACTTCCTTGCGTACGGATGACAGCTACGTATGACTTAATTTATTTTCTGGTGCTTTCACTTCCAGAGACAGTTGTAAGCACTGTGTAACTGCCTCGAGGATGCTTGACCATTTTAACACAACGTGGTGCGATCATCCCCCGTTGCGCGGAGTGAGGGTTCTCGACCCCGCACAACATGATCTACTCGACCACCATTCATGGTTACCGCCAAAAAAAAAAACGAGGTAAAAACAAAAAAACGGTAACCTGGTTGCCGAGTTCACGAAGTGAATTGGCTTGTTTTACAACGTCGTTGCCAAGCGACAAAAACCCAATCCCGATGGCAAACACCGAGGGGGGGGCTTGTTTTACAACGTCGTTGCCAAGCGACGAAAACCCAACCCCGATGGCAAACACCGGGGGGGGCGACTTGTTTTACAACGTCGTTGCCAAGCGACGAAAACCCAAACCCCGATGGCAAACAAGGCCGAGGGGGGGGCGGGGTTTGGGTTTGTAGGGAACGCACCTGGGAATCAAATGGTATGCACAAGAGGCAGGAGTTTTCTGACAGCGAGGGGGAAGATCATGCTCGTTTCGCTGTTGTTCCCGTACCCCTTGGCCTTGAAAACTCTAAGGAAAACATGGTAGTCACCTGGTAGATGCTCAGGGCACGAGGCTGGAGCTTCGTATGCCTCGCCGATCTTTGCGCATAGCTGTTGTATTCGTCACATTCCACCCAAAACTGTTTCAGCAACAAAAAAAAATGACAAAAGAGGGATGCAGGGAGAACGGTCGTTAGTTGTGGTGGCGTTGGTGTTGGTGTTGCGTTTATTGCGTTGTTGTTGCTGCTGCAGTTGCCAATGCTGCCGCAGCTCCTGCTGCTGCCGTTACCAATGTGCTTTTTTTTCCATTCGACATGCACCTCTCGTTGAACGCCTGCCCCGAAACAAACACTGAGAAGCCTTTCCTTTACCTTCAGCAAACTCCTTTACCTTAAGCAAACTCCCCGCGTTGTGACGCTCAAGCCAACTCTCAAAGAGTTGATGAAGACGCGGGCCTCTCAGAACTGACAGCATGCTCAGCTCACCTCGAACCTACGATTGGGTTTGGGTTTCAGGGGAAAAGCCAGTTCAGGAATCAGGGCTAGGATTTACTGAAGTGTTTCGTTTCTCGCGGTTCCTTCTCAGGGGTACGCAGGAGGCTCGTCGGTACATTGCCGCGCACGTCTGATGACCGCCAGGTACCCGTGATGCGTGTGCTCGACGCCCTAAACTCCCCGCCACTGGCACTATTTTGCGGGGCGGTACGCGAAACAACAAATCCTTTGAAGGTGTACAAAACAATTACGTAGGCATGAACAGGGATGCTTTTGACGTACTGTACGGCGCAACACGCAAACCCCTCACACCATGAGCAACAATGCAGGGTTACGAGAGAGATAGAGCAATAGGGTGCGCGGCACGCCCACGCGCATTTCCGCTCACACGAAGACATGCTGAGAAAAGAAACGCATATACCCTCACAAGCGAAATTTTGTACGGAGACCGGCACTCAAGCACTGCCGGACGTCGATCATGTCCTCTTTCGCCGCCCCCACGGAGCTAGTCATCAAACTCCCCACGGGGGAGCCTTGTATTTGACGTTTTGGAGGCAGTGAAAGCCTCCCAAACAGGAGGTTGGCCGTGTTGTCCTATGTGGCCGGTTTTGGCGCTCCCTATGTGAAGAATTCGAGCCTGGGCGTGCCCCAAAACGTGGTAAAGTATCATGCGAGCTCTGGTGCTCATCATTACGCTTGGCCGTATATCTGCGTCACTGTAAACGTCGGTATGCCTTCGAAACCGGGCTAAGAAGTCAGCGTTGCAACCATTGTGTTTCACCCGCCATGTAGCCGGGGGGATGCCGTGGGTTGGTAGGGATGGTGGCTACACAACGAGAACCCATAGGGCTTGTAGCAAGACGAATCTCCGGATGTTGATTCGTTTGCCCTTGACCGGGAAGTTGCATGCGAGATCGTTGGGGTAGGCCAAAAACAGGATTGCTAGGTAGATTGGACGCCGGAGACAAGCACTGCAGTAGTCAATAGAAGCCAAATATTGGATGCACGCATGACTCACCCGGTCGCAGACAGTCTTGTCATCCTCTGGGAAATGAACTTCATACCCACGTATCACGGCCGAAAGCGGGTCAACGTTGCTCGTGGGGTTTCCCCCCTTGCCACCCCCCTTGCGATTGACGGCACAAAACCCAAACAGCAGGGAGGAACGTCTCTCAGAATTGCCCGCGTTTGGTTCCCGGGACAACAGCTTTTGTTTTGACTCAAACAACATGTGGTGGGGCGAAGGGGGTGTTTTCTTGTGCAGACGAACGGATCCAGAGGTTCTTTGTGCGGCATCGGCGACGCGTCTCGCTTGGCCGGGTGTGATAAGTTGAAAGTTAACGAGATTGGTGCGGTTGTTTGGACACAGTCGCCAAACCCGGGCTGAAGCCAAGCACTACTGTCCGGCCCGGCGTGAAATACACGTGAAGTTGCAGCTATTTATCAACGTCATGTGGAGAGTTGTTCGTCTGAAATCCCTGGTGGCCAGAGGGGCAGGTTGGGCGCCGATCGCAGCCAACCTGCGAACGATGGGGAAGATTGGGTGCCTGGGGTTGACCTTGAAAACGTAGTTTTTTTCTTTTCTGCAAGCGCGCCATGCCATGCTGTAGTTGGATTAACGCCACTACTATCTGAGATGCGGAATTACCTGCACACATCTACGTGTATTCTCCCCGCCCCAGGTTGCAATCGGTGACTAAACCTACCGACAACTTGACCTCTGGCCATCGGTGTTCCCCCATGTACAGCGTGGAATCATGGTGGCCAGGTTCTCTGCGCTAGGAGGCCGTTTTCGATAAATCTCTTGGGTTTACTGCAGCCAGATGCCGCCCTTTTCACCAACTCCTAATAAATGTAAGGTGGCAGATAGTTTAAATCTGAATCATGATGTCACCGCCCAAAGACCTCACCGGAACAACTTGGCTGCCGCCGAAAAAATGAACACAATCAACCAAACATGATGTAGAAACTGGAGGGAGCTTGCTTGCTTTCCGATGTATTAGTTGGCACATGAAGAGAGCCAAAACTCTCTGAGCGATCACCGCCCGCAGACATAAACCGAGTGGCGATGTACCATATCATTGTCAATTTTTTACGTAAGAACCGCAAAACTGCCGGCAGTGGGAGAACTTATGGTTGACAACATGACATTTCTCCAACAAAATCTTGTCCAATGGCCGGCTCGATTCTTTAGAGGTGACGCAGTAGTGCTGTGCGTAGAGCAGGTGCGGGATCGGAGATTGAAGCCGTACTTCACGGTGCTCTAACTCGGCTCGCCCTTGGGTTCTCGAGCTCGCGACAGAGGCGTTGTGATCGGAAGATTGGCGAGCTCAGGTCGGCGAAGACAGTCGAAAAAGCCATCCCAAACCGATGTACCGCTCCACAAGGAAGGTCCATCTGCAATAGTGGTTGCGCTTTTTCAGTTGCCGTAAACCGGCTCGCCTTTGGAGTTTCGAGCCCGCGACCCCGCGACAGGGGCGTGGTGATCAAGAGACTGACGCGCCAGTGGGCGTCCACCGGCCAAGAAAGTCTAAAGGCGACTGCTGGCTGATGTACTGCACGAAAACTTCTTGCGTTGTGGAGGGTGCAATAGTCTACAATGAAGAGGTTGATTTCTTGCGTCTCAGAGCTCAGACATGTCGATGTACTGTAGTTGAGACTACAGGAGTACGTACGTAAGACAATTTCTCACGGCTGTGCACAACATTTTTAGACCATATACACGCACACATGCACGTCACAACGAGCGCTCAAACGAGACCACAAGCCAACAACCAATGGGGCGGGAGGGGGGCAGGAGACGGACGAGACGGCGAGGGAAGAAAGTAAACAAGAAGAGACGGACCGAGTGGCGTGATACGTGCCGGATTGAATTTCTTTTAGCCAATTCCCCCCCCCCCCAACGCTGCACCATTGCACCAACCCCCCACTAGTGATGACGTACCATTACCATGTATCGCTGGTTGGTGGCCATGTTTGCGTGTTTGCTTGTTCGTTCGTTAGTGGTCTCTCCACCGTGTGCCTTATTCTGTCTCTTATTTCTTGTTACTTTGGGCCTGGTCTCTTTTTGTCCTCGCTCTTTTTCTTTTTCGTTCTCTTTTTCGTTTTCTTTTCTCTTTTCTTCCTGTTTCCTTTTATTTTTTTCTCTTACTCTCTTTTTTCTCTTTGTCGCTCTTTTTTCTCTCTTTTTCTGTGTCAGATGGCCTGGTCTCTGCTTGCGCGTAAAACACCAAGATTGAACCAAGAGGGTGTACCTCTTTCTCTCTGGCCCGTGATGCTGACTCCTAGTCTCAGTTGTTACCTCGCATAGCGCGCAGGGGGAGCGGAGAGTGGAGGACTCCAGAATATCTGTCGTTGATTTCTATTGACATGCGGACCCCTCGGGGCCAGTTTGTTTGAGCGTACCTTTTTAGGGTAAGTTAGCCTGTGACCACGGGAATCGACCGCGTCAAGTGTTGGATCAGTACGGACTGTGAAGGTACTGGGTAGAGAGAGATCGGAACGGATTTTAATGTGAAGACAACAACAACAACAACAACAACAACAGCAACAACAATACATGCATACCCATTTGAGAACCTTACCAGACTCTAGACTACTCTGTAGTATACTAGTCTACATGTACACCGCCTGTGGTGGGAGGCAGGCTCCGCCCTACTGTACTACAATATACTGTAGCTGTTGAACTCTGCTGTTGACACCAGGTGATGGTGCCCCGTCGGAACAGCAGTATAAGTAGTGACAACATTTTGCCGGAAGTTCGTGATACAAAATGCAGCGGTGTTCTGTCCTGCAACGATACTCTTGGTGCCTGGTGCATGCCAAGGCTCACCGATGTGGAAGACAAGCCCGCTCCCATACTGCCACTACTATGACTGCTGTCATCAGTCCCTGCTCCTCCTTCGTTCGTCCAGCAACCCCCTTTCGCTTCCCGCGCACCACGGAGTAGTCTACAGCAGAACCTGGTCGTTCTCGCTCCCCTACGTTGCGGCCCAACGCATGGTGGTTTTCGTGAGTAGCCAATCAGTAATCACGGTACTGGTGTGACCGGTTCCGGGAGAATGCTAAGTTCACGATATATAGACATACATACATACAAATATACATACACACATACATACATACATACATACATACATACATACATACATACAACATACAATGCATGTAGGCTCTTCGGTGTGTAGGGAACGGTTACGAATCCACGCAGATATCCATGGAACTCCCAATAACGACTCCCCCCGCCCCCCCAACGACGCCCCGAGCCCCGAGCCGAGTTTGCCGAGTCCATTTGCCGAGCGGTCTCACGAGCGCAGCAGGCAGGCGCAACCGCGATAACAGGGCCGAGGAGGGGTCCACCAGTAGAAGGAGATGAACAACTTTCCGCCAGGACTGCTGAATCCTGGCGTGTCAACGCCTGCGTCCGTTGCTGCTGCTGGTTGGTGCGTCCGAGTTCTCGGCGTGGAGTGTCCGACCGGACGGGTGCTGATTTTCAATGTCTTCTTTACGGGTTACGGGGTGTGGATGCTGCTCCCGCTTAGCATAATCCTGCTGCTAGTCTACCGGCTCGTTGGACCCCCCGAGGTATGTGTGGCTTGTGATTTGCGCTGTCAACAAAACTGCAGATAGGGTGCAGATATGGTTGTACACATGTTCAGCCCCCCAAGGTCGCTTGCCCCGGGTCAGCAACTACACACACACATTGCGGTATTACTCGAATTGCGTCGGTTTTGCTTTGCACGGCAGCGTGTTGCTTGAGCATGCCAGAGTTACCTTTCTGGATTTACCACGCTGCTCTTGGCACACGAATCGTACACAAGAACAGCCGGGCTTTCGGGGAAAATACTAACTGCTGTTGTACGCTCTTCAGAAGAAGTGAACCAACCACAGATGGAAATGGTTCCGCGACGCGAAGAATGTACCAACTGCGTCCCCCCCCCCCGGCCGCCACGTACCTTGAGTATCACTTGTGCTGTCATCATTCTCTCGTCGCTCCACAAGAAAGCCCTGAAAATCCAAATAAATTGTAGCATTGAACGAATAAATAAATCATGTCCGGGCGACGGACGGTGTGCATACCCGAACGCCGCCGCTGGCGTCGCAAACCCCCGCCGCCGCTCCGCACCGGCGCCCGCGCCCGCGAGAGGGTCCCAGTAGCCTTGGCAGGGTTCTTCGATTAAGTGAACATGTTGGATAAAGCATACAATCGGGGAAGTTGGGTCAGGGATACAAGGGTCCCCCCTCTCTGTTCTATTTCCTCATAAACTTACTTTTATCTCGAGGGGGGGGGAGAGGGGGTCTGCTGCGCCCGTCATCGCCGGTAGTGCCGGCCAGGCCCCTGCCGACCTCGATCCCCCCCACCCCTCCCCGATGTGGAAAATGTAACAACCGTGAATCTAACGACAGCCGCCGCTACTTCTGAGGAGGCTGTCATTCCACCGCCGTCCACACCTAGGAGACACCTCCAGCCCGATCCATGATGGCTACAATTTCCACACCGCTGCTTGCTCGCCCCGCTGAATAGACCCCCATCACCAGCTTGTTCGCACAGAAACTGAACAGGAAAACAAAAAACGCCTCCAAGTGTCCAGCCGATTTTCTTTCCACTCGCTGTAGAGACTTCAACCTATCCCCTCCAAATGCCGTGATAGTATCTCGATGGGTAGTAGTATTTCTATTACTACATGTATATTTCCTCTAGGAAAACACCCGTCGCGAAATTAACATCGGCAGGTAGACGAGCGGGAGGAGCTGCTGCGGCAACAGTGGGTGGAGCATCGGCAGCGGTTCAAATCGGGAGCGAAGCGCTCCACCCTGCGGGGGGTAATCAAGAGCTCCTACCTAACCGAGCTGAGTGACAGAGGCGGCGGCGCCGGTGATGCTGTCTCCGCGCCCGGCTTGCCGGAATCGTCTTCTTCTCTCGTCTCACACGCTAACCCCGACGACGATGACATCGATGATGACAGCAGCTGGGAAGACGTGCGCGTTGCTGCTACCGCTGCCGCCGCCGCTGAACTTCCCCCGCCTCCTAGGGAAACGGTTTCCGTTTTGACAACGCCCGGGCCGACGCGTGTCACCATCGTGGGAGACAGGGGAGGCGGCAGGAGCCACGGCGGCACTAGCGCCAAAGTTGGTGGTGCTGGCGAAGGCGGCGGCAGCGGCGGCAGGAAACGGCTCGCTGTGCTTACGTTGCACGCCGCGGGGCACAACCATCGGACGTGCCTCGGTGGTCTTGAGCGGGAGGCAGCGAAGGACGAGGAGCTTGGCGCCGGGGGCGTGGTGTTTTATCATGTGGACACGCCCGGGCACGAGGAGGAGCAGGCGAAAGATGTAGAGTGAGTTGTCGGGGGAGGATGGGGACGCGCCTGCCTAGTGTGACGCGCCTTCTGCGGGGGCACCGCCGCGCCACCGTTGTCGTGCTGGTGTTCGTACATATCTGCTATTTAGCGTGATACAAGAACGAGTCGACTCGTGGGCGTTTGGTCCGATTCATGGGCCCTCGTGCTGTGCTGTGCTGGTTTTGTAGCGCAACGAAAGGTCGAGAACGCAAAGAGGCTCTCAACCGTACAGACGTGCGTATCTCGCTGCTGGGTCCGTTGCCCACAGCCGTACTTTCAAGCGAGCCCCGAGATATACTCTCGACCATGCGTAGTGATGTATCCGTGCCCCGTCGCTGATGACACAAACGCCACCGGCACCGACACCACCGTTGCGGACAACAGGAGCAGCACCACAATTCGCTGCCTAACACCATGTCTGACGACCGCTTGTCAACCGCAATACCCCACTCTTTGTTCTGATCCCGTGGGAATCGTTTGCCGACGAAACACTTTGCTAGGGCCAAGGCGCTATCGCTAGAGGCGCAGGCAGCCCAGCTGCTTGAGGTTACCATCCAGCTCGGCCTGGAATGGTTCGTGGGTCTCGGCGTAGGGGCCGGAGCCAACGTTCTCCTGAGATTCGCCTGCGATAACCCCGGCAAAGTGGCCGGTCTTATCCTAGCCAACGCATCCGGCGAAGCCGCTGGTGAGACGATGCAGCAGTTCAGCTTTTGTCACCATTTGTTCTCGCCGAAGGAAAGTCTGACCACGCTGTTTTCGTGCTCCCGTAAGTTTTGTTTGCGTGGCCACTCGTGTGCTGTGGGTATTCAGCTGGTTTTCTGTTTTTTTGTCTTGAATGATGCCGGTAACAATCTACACGCGCGGGGAACATTGCACATGGTCCTTCATTTCAATTTGATGTATGTTACGGTGAACGTGCTGCCTTGCCACACGATCTTCACTCAACACCGCTGCGAGTGAGGATTTTGTCGGGGAGGGCGCGGTTTCTATCTGATTACAACGTCTTGCTTGGGGCATCTACGTGATCAGCCAGCCCGAGGGACCACGTGGGAAACTTGTTGCGACGCCAACAGTTTGTTCCCGGTTTGTTTCCCCTCCCATGCCCGTCATCAAACTATGCCGTCCCAATACAATTTTCAAACAAGCATCCCTCCGCCAAGAACAGAAAACGCCTGGCGTTGCTGCTCCTTCTGTTTTAGGTACCCGGCACTCCATGCTGATCTGCGGGGACTCTGGGGGTTCCGTGGGTGTGTGGCAGGGGATAGAACGACCACCACCACCCACCCCCGACAAGGAACCACAACGCTCTCCTCGCTTGACAATTTGTCGAAGTCCTGGGACCCACCACCGTTTCTCTGTGCCCCGGACAACAAGCGCTTTCCGCTGTCCGCCTTTCAAACACCTTCGCTGTGCATGGATGTCCTACCTCTCCTCCAGGCCGACGCGAGCGTAACGCGTGGTTGTCCCCCCGCTTCAGGCTATCGTGGGAGAGCGACATGAGGGCGGCGAGGGAAGCCCTGGTGCCTCTCAGCTTCCCGCCGCACTCTTCTCTGGGAAAGTGAGTTCGGCTGTGTGTGGTGTTTTGATCCGAATCGCTCATGACGGTTGAGACGAGCTCTGGATGCAGGACGGCTATTGATGGCGTGTCCCGTAGTTCGGTGTGAGTTTGATCGATTGTCTGGGTGGGAGGGTGAGGCGCCTTGATCTCGATGAGTGAAGGAGCTGTTTTCCTGGCCCTCACTCTCTCAGAAGGAAAATTACCGGAAGGCTATGCACCAAGCAGGGTTCATCCACCCACCCCCACGGTAGTCGCGGACCACTTTCACAGGAAGTGGAAGCGTGTGACGTGATTGGCTCCTTCACAAGGTAGGGGTGAAACCGTAGTTTCTAGTGGTCAGCCGACTGCAGGCGAGCACCCAAGTCGAGTCCACCGCCTCTTGAGCGAAAACCGACAGTTACCTTAGGTTACGTATGATACCACACACCCCGGTCCGATTTGTATGTAGCTCGATTACTCCACCACGAAGAGGATGCCTAAGTCAACCGATAACTTTTCGAAAAGCTCTCAATGATACTGTTCCAACGCCGCTATTTTGGGCGCACCGTCACTTAGGGTTAGGGTTAGGGTTAGGCTACTGTTTGAGCTGCAGAGTTTTTGGGGCTTTGGAAAATCGGGGCGGGGGGGTGTAGTTGTATCTTGCGCAAACCTTCGGTATGCCGTTGCCACCGAATGCCTCGGGGTCATCCGCGCGTCCACATGTTCTCGGCAGGCGTCCTCAAACGCACAGAAATACCATATGTGACGTAAGATACAACACCCCCAGAAGCGACTTTCAAAGCTCGACTACTTCCTCACCAGTATAGAGTGGCGGTGCCGAGAATGTCGGCGTTAGAGCCGTCTCGTGGAGAAATTTTCGAAAGCGCCATCACTTGGGTTGGGCTTGGCATGCTCTGCTTCTTGGCATATTCGAGCTCTGAAAATCGGTCCAGGGAGTGTTGTGTCTCTCTTGTCACGTACGGTATGCAGACCAGACCAGACCAGCCCCCACCCCGAAAACGACCGTACCACCATGACGGCCGCCAATGCCATGCACGGTGTACGTACTCCCTGGCAGATAACCCTCGGATCCGCAAGTTGCTGACCCCCCCCCCCCCCCCGGCCGCCCGCCCCTACTGCCAACCACATTGCAGTCGATATCGCGCCGGCCTGGGAACCATGGCACTCTGGCAACGTCCTCAAGTACGTGGATGCGTCACTATGTCGGGACGATATCGCTGTCTCGAGACTACAGGTGCGTAGGGCAGCAGTCAATTTTTCATCCTTTTTTGGTCATACGTGTCTTCAACTCTTGCCTCCCCCCTATTTTTTTTTTCGATGGTCTGAAATAGAAAAAATGAAAGACCACCGAAGGTGACGACAGATTTCGCCTCTTGTTTACCGACGTGGCAACGGCCAAGGACGAAAAATGCAAGGGTAGAGTGATCGTTGTCGTTGGTGCTGTTGCTACTGTTGCTGCTGCTGCTGTTGCTGCTACCGCTTCTTGTGGTCGCTGTTGTTATCATTGGTGCTGTTGATGTTGTTGATGATATTCTACCCTTTTTTTTTTTTTAGAAAAATGGTGTACCATTTTGGGATAGTTGGTTTGTGACCACGGAAGGTGTCCGCGTCAGTTGGACCAGTACGGACGTTAGAAGGTATTGAGCGGAGACCGGAACGGTTTTTCATGTGAAAACAACAACAACAAATTCTTGTCCCAAAGTCGTGCAATACCACCAAGCGGTGTCATCCGCTTGCCCCCCCCCCCCCCCCCCCCAGCGTTGATCGATATCCCCCCCCTTCAATTGACCATTGATTTAGGCCCTAAACGACGTGTGGACACTTCTGATCTGCGGAAGAGAATCAACCGGAGCTTCGTCTGTGGGGGGCTACCTCACCAGCATGGTGGCGGGAGTCGACTCCGAAGAGGCGTCCCGATCCCTCCTGGACAAGCTCCGCCGCGCCGCTGGGGGCGAAGCGTCCAGGGCGACCCTGGTGACGTTGGATGGAGGCGGCAGCGGGGGAGGGATTCTCGAGGCGAAGCCCCTGGAGGTCTTGTCGGCCATGAAGCTCTTCTTGAACAAGTGCCTCTGAGATGGCTAACAATTGCCTCTGAGATGGCTAACAGTTGCCTCTGAGATGGTAAACACTTGCCTCTGAAATGGCTAATAATTGCCTCTGAGATGGCGAACAATTGCCTCTGAGATGGCTAACAATTACCTCTGAGATCGCTATCAAACTCCTTTGAGATGATCAACAAATGCCTCTTGAGATGGCTGCTGCTGCTGTTGTTGTTGTTGTTGTTGTTGTTGTGTGAATTCGCCCTCCGGGAGCGTTCGTTTTCTGTAGCGTGCACGTGTGTACTTTCTAAACTAGCATCGACCACGCTAACCGGCGGAACAATAATAAACACGTACGCTTGTGTGCTGTGGGGTGCATGGAGTGAGAAGGGCTTGGCTCAGGCCGGCGTTAAGGGCTGGGCTTGCGTGACCCCGTGCTGTGTATAGAAGTACCCTCTTGTAAAGAGGCGGAGAGATGGCACCCTCCGTGCCCGAGTTTCAAAGCTGGATTGCTCCACAACCAAGTGGGTGCGGAAACAACCCGATAGGTCTACGGAAAGCAGCTCTCGACGAGATACTCCCAGAACCACCATTTTTGATGTTGGCACAAGCTTGGTCGTGAAGCCCTCGAGCATTGAACATCGGTCTAGGGGGGGTGCCATCTCTCCGCCTCTTACGGAATACCACGGTACGGTATACGGTACGGTACAGACAAGCTTGGTTGTGGAGCAATCGAGCATTGAACATCGGTCTAGGGGGGGTGCCATCTCTCCGCCTCTTGCGGTACGCATGCGTCCTGTTCTCGTCAGCACGCGTTCTTCGGAGATACTTTTGACGGGGCAGTTTGCCGCAGGGCCTCTGCAAAGATTTTTTCGCCGGAGGGGTGCGCACGCGAAACCCTCGGCTAGCCGGCTGCTGTTCCTGAGGCCGGGCTTTAAGAACGAATGTCTTGGCTGTAGAAAATGATGACTTCCATCAACACCTGATTCCTTATTCTGGAATGTTTTCGGGTCCAAATTTGTCTAATGGTGAAAAGTAATTTTTTTCCGTCTGGAGAGGTTTACGGTTACAGACCGGCTCGTAGGAAACACCAATTTTGAGCAAGGCTCAAAGCCGTACAGCGATTGAGCACAGGGTACAATATGCGTTACTATTATATTCTTCTAACAGGGATTAGTGCGGTGCCGTTGGCTGGCCCCATTTTCTTGCCATGTTTCATTTTCTCCTTTGTTAATCTGAGCCGCGATTTCTTGTGTAGTGTTTCCTGTGATGGGGCTGGCACTCACTGCTGTATGGCTAGCTGTGGTGAGTTTTTGTTATCCTTGCTTGGAAAACATATTTTGAGGGGGACGTGTTAGTATTTTTTGTCGTTCTTCACGACAACCCCCCGCCTTTGAAATCATCAGCATCTCCGAGTGTAATGGGATCTTTTTTGATCGGTGTTCTTTTGATTCGACATTTGCGTAGTCGTTCCCATGTCTCGAGAAGAACCGAGGGGGCAGCATGATTTTTTTTTTTTGGTTCCGAAGGGTGGGTGGTCTACTCGTTGATCAAGGCGACCGCTACCCGATGCACTTTTAATGTGTAACGAGGAGAGAAACAGAGAGATACAGACAGACAGAAAGACAAGCAGAGAGAGAGAGAGAGAGAGAGAGATAGAACGGGGGAAGTTTGGGATATATGGAATCAGGTATTTTTGTACATGGTAAGGCCAACCTGGAAATCCACGCAAATCGAAAGCTGGTGTTCGTTGGTTCGCCACAGACTTAGCGTTACAACCTCTGAATCGTTGACTGCGTCATGTTGAAGATATCGATATTCTTGTTTCACTCGTTTGCGGTGTCAAACCTTGTCTTCGAGAAAAAACATTTTTGAGTTTTTGGCTCCGGTGTATGCATGCGGATGTGGTTCCCGTCGATCAACGCCTTTTTGTTGTCTGTTTTGGCGTGATTGTACATGACTGTGGGCACCATTTGTTTCTCTAGACCCGAAGATTCCGTGTACAGCGCCAGGTGCCAGGATGGTCTACCGCGGTAGGCAGGTTCCATTTGCACCCGAAAATTTGGATGCGGACACCTAGCTCCCGCAGCTTCTTCTCGTTTGTTTGCAAACGAGATTATTATTATTGCTGATTGATGAGACTTTGGTGTCGTCGTCCATGACGAGAAAGAGTGAGAACAACGTTTGTCGGAGAACCTCTCTCTCTTTGCCTCGGAAGGCGAGGGCTAGAAAATGTTCAAACAAGTCCCGTGCTCATGTTACTACTGTACCCTTCCTTGTGCACCTGAAGCTACAAGTACTGTTGTGAGTATGCTTGTGAAGGTAGTTTTGTTGGCTCATATGATATACATACATATGTCTGGTAATAAACCAGAAGGTTGCGCCCGATAGTGAGCGAAAAAACTGGATGCGAGTTGTATGTCGGTGGGTTGCTTACCTCTTCTTCACAACAACGTGGATGCCTCGTCCGTCCATCCCCGGAGTGTGATGCCCTTCGCATTATACACACGCGTATGCAACGAGCTACGATACCCTGCGGCATATTGTAGTCACTTTTCCTCTAAGAGACCGATACGGTCTCTAGAGGTCTCACAAACGGTAAAAAAAATGTGAATGAATGAATGAATGATGGGCACTTTCAGTCCGAAGGCCTGAACCACGCACTTTTTTGAACCGAACGCCCGAGATGCGAGAAATCACCCCATCGGCCGTCCTGCACTACTTTAGAAGCCCTCCGCAAGTTTCAGCTCGATTGACGCCTTCTGCGTTGACGGTTGGCTGTGTCGGTGACCAGCACTCTCAAGCACATAACACAAGCATGCAGCAGGTGCTGCCGACACCAAATTGCTCCGATCTCGACCGATTTGTGCCTAAATGTTCCTAAATGTTGCCTATCCTCCACCAAATTGAAGCCCCGTCCAATCTACAGCTCGATTGACAAGTCCTTCGACGCTGGAATAGCTGTGTGCCTACCAATTTTGCCTGCCAACGAGAGGTCCGGGCCACACCGCTGCATCCTCCCGCCGAGGAAGTAATATGTTCCCCGCAAAACGACAGTTTCAAATTATTTTTCGCATGCGCGCAAAATGTTGCGGAACAAATTATTTGAGTTTATCCTAATCTCGACACGTGTGCCCCTGATAGACTATTCGCCGCATTTCGAGGCAAACATTGCTTGTTCTTGTACAAACGCGCGCGAATAGAGGGATAGAAGCACCACACACTACCAAAAACGGAACCAACCGTGACAATACCGTATCCTTTATCCACACCGCCGCAGAACACGCGTTCATACCAATTGGCATGGGCTCGTAACGGTGTCGACAGCATGAACGAAGTTTGGCATGATCCAACGACGATGGGTAAATGGTCATCCGCGTTCATCCGCGATCCGGGGCGATCTGTCATTCCACCGTGCACCACCATGGTATCCACCTCACCGCAAGCCGGTCGCCCCGGTGGTCTAGTTGGTATCCTCGAAACCTTCTAGAGGTCAGGTCAGGGGTCCGAATCCCGGCGTAAGCGAGCTATTCTTGCAAAGTGAGTTTTTCTCTCGCTTCCGCTTCTGGCCTAGTGGATAGCGCTATTATAGTTCGTGTGTGTGTACACAGAGGGAAGAGAGTGCTGAACTCTTCTCGCATTAAAAATCGAAGGCAAAGTACCGCAGGAGGGGAGGGTAGAGAGGGGCTCTTCTGTGTGACCACGGGTTGGAGTAAACGGCACTAGTGCTGTGAGCGCTGATTTGAAGTGAAGACAAAAAATACAAAAATACAAAAATAAAAAGCAAGGCCAAACTACAAATAAATTCTGTACGTGTGTGTGTGGGGGGGTGTGTGGTGTGTGGTCAGTAACCAGCGAGTGTGCTCTGAAGACATGCCAGTGTGGTGGCGGTCTCAAACAACATGCCCTCAGCAACAACAGAAGAAGTGGAGGGGTGGACGGATCCACGGATGGATCCGACGGGTAAACGTTTCATTCTACAGCAGACCAGCGGACCGTGGAGCAGGCGGACATGCATGTTATTAGCGTACCAAGCCATGTATCGCACAACGGGAGACCGTTTGGCCGTGCTGATGATGCTGATGATGCTCGGGCACACCACTACTGCCTGGCTGGGTGATTGCTGCACGCCGTTGTACGTTGTAACATCGAACACGCCATTCATTGGCACGGCACGACCGTTGGCACGGCAGTCAACCTGCCATATTGGTGCACGGTGGAATGAAAGATCGCCCCGGATCGCGGATGAACGCGGAGGAACATTTACCCGTCAACGTCATATCATCATCACCACAGATTCAAATATTCCAAACACGCAACGCATACACCTGCGCCATTTCTATCGGTTTATGTATATAGACGTCCACCCCCTCTTCCCCTTCTTCCTTGTCGCCTACTGGTACTGTCCCTGTCGCGCGCTCTCTCTCTCTCGCCTCGCCAATGGGCTGACAAAACACAACCCCGCCTCGGTCTCCAGCCACAGAAACGCCCACAAGCATGTGTTGGACTCCCGATAGTCCGCTCCACAGTCCCCCCCCAGGTCTGCCTGCTGCCTGCTGTCGGCAAGTCGTGTGCTACAGCAATAACACCTCGCTCTCTGCTGACTGCTCTTGTCCAAGGGTATGGGTAAGCACAACAAGGGAGGCGGGAAATCATGGGTAAGGGGTGGTTGGAAGCAAGGTAACCGCGGTAGCAGCGGTGGTGGTGGCGGCGGGAGGGGGAAGCCCGGCAGGTATGGAGGGAGCGGCGGCGGCGGAGCAGGCTACGGGATATCGCCCACCCCCACAGCAAGGGCTTACGGCCTGCAGCAGCAAGCGAGAAGAGGGGGAGGAGGTGGTGGCGGCGGCTGGGCCGGGTCGAACAAGCGTGGCGGAGGTTTTGCACCGACCAGCCACGCCGCGAGAGAAGCTTTCTACTCGCAGAAGCAGGGCCCACCTCGATGGCACCAAGAAGCTGGGCTACCACCAATATCCGACTCGTTGCACCAACAGCAGCAGCAGCAGCAGCAGCAGCACCGCAGCAACGGCGGTGACCACTACCACGACAGCAGGAACAGCAACGGCGGCGGCGGTGGGAGGCACACCGCGCGCGACCTCCTGTCCCCGGCGTTCTCGCAGAACTCTTCCCGCCGCCGTATTGAATTCCACAAGGCCACCAAGCCTTCGACTATCTTTTCTCCCTCCGGGGGACCGACTACTACTGTAGCAGCTCGACGCGTCGACGATAACTCCAGTGCGGGTGGCCAGAAGCCGAGGACAAAGGGCGGTGAGGGCGCAGGGAGTAGGGAGGGAGTCGCGGGAGGTGTGGACGACCTTGCCAGGCTAGCAGAGAAGAAGATAGGGCTGCCGCCCCCGGGCAAGGTATGTACGATCGACGGCCGGCTGGTGCAACATGACGGTGTTTTTTTTTTCGTGTTCTAAAGTCTTGTATCGGTCGTCGTCTACATGCCATATGATATGTAGCTCATTTTAGTGGCGGCACCAACGTTCGTTGCTGTCGAATCCAGCGTTCAGTGCTCTCTCCATCGCCCCGTACCTTTGTGAACTAAAATTCAGGAGGGTGTGCGAGATTAAAACATGTACATGTTGCATAACGCATCGTGATTGAACGTAAGTAAGAATGTCAGGCAGAGAGAGAGGCGTTTTGTGTGAAACAGACAAGCATCACGAACCGTCGTGTACGAAAAAGGTACGTACGTGTGCGCTGTGTATCTTCGATTGTCCGATGCATATGCATGCAGTATGCACCTGGTTGAGCGACGTTGTAGCACACATTTGAGGTATTGACAACCCCTTGCTCACCCGTTGTAACTCTGGAGGCGGCATGTTGATGGGATCCTGTTTCCAACCCGCGTATCGAATGCCCCCGCCTCCTGTCACGGATAATGAAGAAATAGACATAAAAGACACTGCTGTGGGGATACCTCGAACGGGTAATCTTTCTATATAAAGGTTTGATGTACATTTTCTATAAAACATGAGGAAAAAATGTAGAATATCTAAGAATGGGGGGCGGTGTTACCTGTTGTGTTTGCCTTCTGCATAGAACCCTCTCTACCAACGGGGTTCGTGAGAGACTGCTGCGCAGCGACGATGTCGCGATGAACAATACCAATGCTAGTATAGAGGAATAGGGGATTGGGATTTGGACCGGAGCTGCGCGTATTTTTGCTCGTGGTGTTGGTCTTGCTTTGTCCAGCTCTTCCGACTGATCCGAACAACGCGACAGCAGTAGAGTAAACCGAGACACACGATCGGAGAGTCGTTACTTGCTTTTTGTTTGCTCCAAAAGTGTGTTTGCCGCATCACCTAGCTTGTATGAAGGGAGGAATATTTAAACCAGCGTGATTGAGAGCTGATTGAGAGGATACGCTTGCGAGACGAGACGGTGTGGAACTGGCAACCCAGGACGAAGACGTTGCCCGAAGGGGATTACTGGCTTGTTTTACCCCCAACGAAAAAGTTTTGGGTAAGTCATTTCAAGGTGTCCCTGCCCCCCCCCCCCCCCCTGTAAACCGCCTCCGCCACGTGCCCCTTCCTCTTGCGTTGAACATTGCCATGAAGGAGCTCTACCTCGACTCTAAAATCAAGGCATGTCTCCGGTGGAAGCAGGTCCACAGGATGGGACCGGGGCTCCGCAATCTGGGCAACACCTGCTTCCTTAACGCCACCCTGCAGTGCCTCAGCTACCTTCCCCCGCTGGCCCAGCACCTCCTCAAGGGGTTCTACGGTCAGGTGCGATAACGCTCTTTTTCGTGGAACTCCTTGTAAAGTGATTGCTGGAGGGCTTGGAGCGGTCTCTTCTGCGGAGGCTACTTTACCATGCCACTAAACGGGGGTGAAGGACATCCACCCTGTCTGTGGCACAACAGTATCCACCCTCCGAATTTAGACTTATCCAACTGTCGATTTTAGACAGCATTGTGTTGTCGTATGCATATGTGTTGTTGCACAGGTTTCTGGGTGATTGTTCTCCCTTCCCCGGGTTGCCGATAGAGAGACACATGGTGGCCTTGTTCAAGAAAAGCAATAGAGAAAATGTCGAAAAGTTTACTTCAGCCCTCCGAAATAAAATTGGCGAATAAGGTATCACGCATGTAACGCAGTACTATTTGCGATGCGGGTCTCTCACGATGGCCGTGTCTATGCTGAGATTGAAACACGCGTATCACGTGGTATGGAGCAGCGGTTTTTTTTCCAAGTCCCCGGTAGTGACCCTTTATTTGCACTGAGTCTTGGTCACGGACAACGTGGCATACATACATTGGCAGGGCCCCCAGGGGATCGCTTCAAGAGGCCCCCGTCCAATGGGAGGCTTCCGGGAGTTCACGAAGGTGGAGATACTGGCGGCGATGGAGCAGCACACGAAGCAGGTCCGATTGGAGGATGGGGGATGGGACCATAGCTATCTTCTCTCGGCGCTTTTTGTTGTTGTTGTTGTTGTTGTTGTTGTGGCGTTGGGTGTTGGTGATTACGGTTCGCGGTGCCCCTTCGGCTTGGGGAAACGCTGTTTTCTTCTCGGATATCTTTTTCTCAACAAAAACGACCACCCCGGGGCCCCGTAGAATCATCCACACACACAACAAACTATCGGTAGAACCCGATGATGGAAGGCGTGCTCGCCTTTTTTTTGTCCCGCTACGTGACCAGCGTTTTTTCATTGTCAGCCGGTTACTGTAGCGAGGTGGATGCTAATCAAAGGAACACGAACACACACGCAAGCACGCACATTCCCCCTCACGAGGTCCCAGTCCATGGCCTTCAGAAGGGTTGCCCGCTTCTAGCCGCTCTGAGACTTAAAGTCTTTGCATTGGTCAGCCGGTTAGCGCGGCCGACGCAACAATAGGTGACACGCGCAGACATGTGTAGTGACGAGGGAGAACGAAAGGATATGGTGTGATGTGGTACACACTGCTGTATACGCGCTCGTCCACTCTGTCGGTTGTGTTGTCGTCGTTGTCGATGTTGCTTTTCACTATGCACGGCATGCGAAATCGAACTCGGAACAATTATTTCAGGTGCACCAGGGACAGTTCACGGGGCTAGGGGCGATCAGCCCGAAGGTTTTGGTTCAGAACCTTCGTATGATCGGGAGGCAGTTTCGCCAGGGAAGACAGGTGCGGTTATTCATGGGGAACCGCAACCGCTTGTCGGTTCGCGCATTCCTCAGTAGACTTCGCTGTGGTGGTCAGGTTCAGTGGGCTTGGTTGTTGTGCTTGTGGTGGCCATGGAGAACCACAATCACATGTTGGTTCGCGCATGGTTCAGTATAAGCCCTGACTTCTAAGGCATGCCTTACTTTTTGCCTTAGAGCCCCTTCTTAACACAGGGTTGCCTGAGACGGTGTTTTGTGCCTGAGGGGTTGCCTGAGACGGCGTCTTTGTGCCTGAGATGACTTATTTCCACGAACAAGCCCCGGCTACACCAACGCCAACTCGTGTCCCTGGGGTCGTGCGGTCGTGCGGGTCGATTTAGGGGTGCCGTCAGAGAGGTAGTACATGGAAATCTCTGGTGCGGGCCCCCTTTTCATGTAAGAAATGTGCCTTAGATCGTGCCTTAATCCACTTTTTCATGCCTGAGGCGGGCCTTAAACCGTGTGCCTTAGCGCCCCTTTTGCGTGCCTTAGAAGTTAGGGCTTAGTTCAGTAGACCTGTCTGTTGTTCTTGTGGTGATCTTGGAGAACCACAATCACATGTTGGTTCGGGCATGGTTCAGTGGACTTGGCTAATGTTCTTGTGGTCGTTGTTGTCGAAGTTGTTTGCGGTTGTTATCTTCGCAGTCTTGACCGGTTAAACCCCCGTCTGACCTCCATCGACTACCACCACGGCAGTTGGCTTTCGTGGTGTCTTTCATGGTGGCGATGTGCACTGGCTTGATTTGGAACGCCGATGTTCGCGGTTGGCTCGGTGGGCAAAAAAATTAAAGGAAACGTATTAAACAAACCAGAAAACATGCCGCTGCTGTATACGAAGTATATGTTTGCAAGAATGCTTTACGGCTCACACAAGCTTGGACCCTTGAAACTGGAATGGTGAGAAAATGTCCACGAGAGAGAATGGTTAGGGCTGGCTCTGTTTGCCCCGTACCCGTGCCCCTTTCTGCACCGCGCTGCTTCCCGACGGGGCCCTACCTACCTACCGCATGCGCGCCCGCCACCATTGAAACAACAACAAACCCCGCTGACGATACAACGATATCCCGGGGACGGCGACGCAAACGACCAAATAGGAGGACGCCCACGAGTTCCTGCGGCACCTCCTGGACAAGATGGTGGACTGCTACCTCAAACGCAGGGGGGTCAAGTCTTCCGCGCCCAACAGGCTGGCCGAGACGACGCCGATCAACCGCATCTTCGGAGGGTACCTCCGCAGCCGGGTGCGTACCACACGGCCGGATGCGTACCACGGTAGACAATATGTACGGCCACGGAAGATACCGCACACCCCGCCTTGGACCGATTTCCATTTTCGAACAGTCCGGCTAGAAGCCTGCGCCGCAAAGCGAGGCGACGGTGCCAAAAAGAAATGGGCAGCGTTGGAGCAGCACTAGAGTAGGTGTCGTCGAGAGCGCATCACGGTAGACACCACACCCCCGTAAACGAGCTTTCATTTCAAAACAGTCCGGTTTGAGGCTGCACCCCCAAGAGAGGCGACGGTGCCCAAAGAGTGGGCGGCGTTTGGAACAGCAGTCTCTTGGTCGAGAGCGCCTTACCGACAACGTGCGTGTTGTCCTGTGGTCTGGGCTTATCGTCTCCGTGGTGGAGTGTTGGAGCCATGAGCTTCGGCCCGGGTTTGTGTGTGGTATCTTGTGTCATGTCATGTCACCGACGGTACGCAGTTAACCTCGTCCAAAACATGCTTCTACATACAGAGTATTACGGTCTTGACTTGGAAGGAGGGGTTGGGTTGGTTGGCGGACCACGGTGCACACAGTCGCGCCTTCTTTTTTTTTCCCCTTCCAAAAAGCGAAAAACAATTTGAAAAAGCGGTTCTTGTATCTATCCACAGGCATGACAGTTTTCATTCTTCGCTCTGGTGTTGCGGTCGGTTGAACCGCTGCACGCCAAGGTTCCGATGGCGTGCTTGAGGCTCGCGTCGAAGTTTGCTCGGGTTTGTGTGCATGTGTGCATGCGTGAGGTGTTAGTATGTCGCCGTTCCTTTGATTGATTGTTTTTCTTTGCACGCTGCGATAACGTTTACCGTCTGCTCCGGATTCGAACACACCATGCATGGGGAAATAATTTATTCGCCCAGAACAGATGGGACGAACGAAAGAGAACGATAACTAAGACATGCGTTGTATTCGTGAGGATGACGTTCTTACCCCTCTACACCTGTTTGTGTTATTTTTTTCCAGCTCAAGTGCACTAAGTGCGGTCACTGCAGCGACACGTTCGACCCTTTCATGGACCTGTCCATGGACCTCTCGAGGGGAGTGCGATCGATAGACGTGGCTTTGAGGCGTTTTGTCGCGACGGAGCGGCTGGGTTCCGGTAACGAGTGGCGGTGCGGTGGGTGCAAGAAGCCGGTTCAGGCGGAGAAGAGCCTCTCGGTTTTCAAGGTATTGTTTACAACCTCTTGTTGGCAAGACTTCAATCACAGCAGTAGCTCGCCGTGGTCAATGGTCTAGCAGCTATAAGGCACGCACTACATGATGACCCCCCCCAGTCAACCCATGGCATATCTGGATTGGCACATCAAACGCAAAGATGATGACCAGCCTCTGGTTGATCGTTGTAGCACATAGTCTGGGCCGGCGAAAACCCGGCATATCGCCCCGTCCCAGCATTGTAGGGGTGCGAGGGTTACGGTCTACCAACTACGGGATGTGTTTACATGAGTACCCCCCCCCCCCCCCCCCCCCCCCCCCCCTT